GGGGGAGAAAACTGATTAACCAAATAGTTTTGGGGGAATCGAAAGAATTAAAAGAAATGGGGGGAGCTTTTAGGTAGTTTTCCCCTTCGCACCGGAATCTGACAATAGCCCAAAAAAAAGCTCTGAAAGCCTTATTGGGCCCAATAGCTTCCTGGGCTTTATAGTTCTGAGCCTGAAGGCCCATAATAAGCAAATATATACGTATTAAGAGGCCCATTGGACCCTTTGCTTTATGGGCTTTGAAACTATAACCAATTTTGAAGGCCCATAACACACAAATATATGTGCAATAATATACATATATATGTGTGTGTGTGTGTATACATAGGTATAGATGTAGTTTGGGTTTGTTCACAAAAGGCTGAGACGGATGACAACAAAACTTGGCATGGTTCACCCTCTCCAACCAAACGTCACCGATATTGGGTAAACCATTTCCCTTCATTCGACCCACCCATACAAATTATATATATATATATATATATATTGTTTCGGATAGTAAAAGTGGGAAAAAAATATTCGTTTGGTTTTATTTGGAGTGCAACCTAAGAATTAAAACTAATTTTCTTTAATTTATTATGAGTTAATTTAAATAATTAAACTAATAATATGCGAATCTATGGATTCACGCATTTTATACATACATATATATATATATAATTTATTTCAGTTAAACTAAATTAGGAATATAACTTATGACATGTGAAGCCTAAACACTTAAGAAACGGATCGAGCGAATGTTATAACGTGGAAGAAAACAAAATATTCCGACCGAAACCGGAAATGGGTGTAGATATGAGCGGCTGCTGGCTGGCTGGGCCTTAATAAGACAAAACTGAGTCGAGAGGACTTCGTATATTCTTCCACGGCTTCGGTTGGTTAGCAAACCTAACTAAACGGTACGACGTCGTTTCCCTCTCGATCCCTGCGTTTTACGTATTGGTTAGCGCGCACACACCTCGTGTGTATATATATAATATAAAAGTAATCAAATATATAAGTTAAAATATACAGACGGAATTCAAATATTAATTGTATTTATACTTTATTCAAATGTTAATTCATAGTTTACAAATATCAAAAATTGTTTTATTTTACAAATATCTCAATTATAATCCGAATTATCCACTGTTTTCTTTAATCATCAACAAAAAAAATAGAACTGATTAAATTAGGTAAAAATAGTAATTTAGACTAATGTGCATGAAGATGTTTTTACAAAAAAAAAAAGTGCATGAAAATGAGATTTATAGGAGTACTAAAATCTTTCAGTTGTCTCTAATATATACCTAATATTTTTAGATTAGCGGAATATATATATATATATAACATAATAACTAGTTTTAATGTATATGTGCATATTAATTATATAGAATATACAAATTAGTCTGTTTATCGATATAATATTAATATAACACGAAAACAAGAGGAAACACACAAAAAACAGAAGAAAAAAAAGAAGGAAAAGGAACAAGAGTAATAGACACGCGCGAGGGAGGCGCGTGGTGAGGAAGAGATGACGATACTTTTCCTCGTCTCTTACTCCACCGTTTCTTCCCTTAACTTTGCTTCTCCACCTCCGCCATCTCTCTCTCTAAACATTTTCTGTCAATTTTTTTTTAGAAGTAATCAAACAGAAAATACAAATTCAGATACAGACTTCTCGTCTTCTCTCTCTCTGTGAACACATATACACAATATATATATATACTCACGTCCACACACACATACCACTGTCTGTCTCTCTCTACAGAAGAAAGTCCTGATCGTGTCTCTTATCGTTACCCAAACCTCTCGATCTCGTTCCTTGTTTTCTTTTGCTTCCAGATTCTGTCCACCGTTCTCTCTCCGTTTTCTCGAAGTTTTCAGGTTTCTTCTTCGTATTTTTGGTCCCTCTTCCTTGTGCAATTCGTGGGATTTTGCTCCTCGTTATGCTTAATTCGTTTCCCGTGACAGTGACGGCCGTCAATGGTTACCAAGGGTTTATAAAAATGCCCTAAATTGTGTTCAATTGTGTTCGGATTAGGGTTTTTTTCTTAATCCTGTTAGTTCTGGATTTTTTGAAGAGCCCTTTTTGATTTTATGAGCACGAATTGCGCGCTGGAATTGAATTTTACGTTGTTTTTTTTTTTATTTGCAGGTTGAAGTTTCTTCTGCCGAGGACTGTTGCCAATTCAAAGTCTGTACCTTTATCGTAGAAAACAGGCTTGTCCGAATACAAAGTCTCTTCATCTGGTTCTCGATATGTTGCTGGTTTTGGGTGAAGGTGTCGGACTTAGGGTTCTTTCACGAATTTGGTAATCATAGAAAGCATTCGCTGTCGTTGTTAATGGCGGTGTGATAGACATCTCTTCTGTTAAAACCTTGGAGAATACGCACAGTAGAGGAGGGCATAAGGGTGTCTCATTTTTCAAGACTTGGGATGGGTAATAAACTCGGGAGGAAGAGGCAAGTGGTCGATGAGAGGTACACAAGACCACAAGGGTTGTATGCTAATAAAGACGTCGACGTTAAAAAGCTCAAGAAACTTATTTTAGAGTCTAAGCTTGCACCTTGCTATCCTGGGGATGATGAGAGCGGCCATGATCTTGAAGAATGTCCAATCTGCTTTCTGGTTCGTGTTTTTTCTGTCCGGGTTCTTCAATTGTATCAAATTTCTTTCATATTTTGCTGTTAGAGCGTCATCTTCTTATTTGGCTTGCCCATAAAGTTTCTGTCATTTCAGAAACACTGGTGAATTTGAGGCTCATATCTGGCGTGATTTTATATGTTATTCTTATGTATGGAGATTGTTTAAATATCTTGTGGGTATCTGAATGGTTAGTTGCGGGGTAATATGCAATGTGAACATTCGGTATGGTCTTGACAGGTTTTATAGGTGAAAGGATCGACGTTTCTTCCTCAGAAAACTAAAGCTGTGTTTTTTTTTTAATTCTCGTGTTTTTAGTACTACCCGAGCCTCAATAGATCGAGATGTTGCATGAAAAGCATCTGTACAGGTAATGCTCATTAGCCCTCTGCAACTTTAGTGTTTTAATCTCTTTTATGTTTCCTTCCCTTTGACCTGGCTTCTTTGGTACAGAGTGTTTTTTGCAGATGAAGAACCCTAATTCAGCTCGCCCTACTCAGTATCCTTGCCCACCCTATATTGTATTCAAGTGTTTGGTTTCTTCTCATTCTTAACGCTTTTGGAAATTTTTCAAATTTGATTTGATAGCTCTTCTCATGGTTTCCTCCTTAACTATATGAGGTGCCCCTTTTGTAAAACATCCAATTATGCTGTTGAATATCGAGGAGTAAAGACAAAGGAGGAAAAGGGCATGGAACAAGTTGTAAGAGCTTGATTATATCTTAGCCAAAGCTTTTCCTAATGAACAGTATGGATTATTGACTGATACTATTTTTGCTTAACGCCTATCTCGATTTCAACTGTTCATCCTGCAGGAAGAACAGCGGGTTATAGAAGCTCAAATACGGATGAGACAGAAGGAACTTCAGGATGAAGAAGAAAGAATGCAAAAACAACTGGAATCATGTTCTTCTAGCACGAGTGCGGTGACTGCTGAGATGGAATATGGTTCAGCTGCCGGTCGGTCCTGTCTGTCAGCACTTGCTTTTTTCATCAGAAACAATGGAGGCATCTTAATTTGTTTCCTTGTTCTTCGTGGTCCACAGCTCCACCATATAATTGTCTTGCGGAGGATGGGGAACTTGTTTCTTGTCAGGATGCATCTGCTGCATCAACAGACAGGCAACCACTGCATCGGGGAAACAGGTCTGGATTTCAACGTGTTGTTCTGTCAATCTTTTACTCAGTTTCCTCTGTGCCTTTTTATTAAGCAATGGTTTGAAGAATGATTCTTTTTTCTCTGCAACCGTTCTCAGATTTAGTTGGTAATTACATTACAAGATTTATTCTTTCTTTTTGTGGAGTTTGATGCTTTAGACACAATTTGACTTCAGAAATGAGTGAGGACGATTATGCCTCCTGTTACTAGTGGGTGGCTAATATGTTAGGTTACCTCTTTGTTAGAGAGGGCCAGCTAGCCATTCTGAGTTGAAATTGGTTTGGTTTCTACTCTGTGACGTAGAAAATCAGAATTATCGTCTGTCTCACTTTTTTGCGTCATTTTTCTGGCTAAATGTATTTCCATAATGTTGATTTGTTCGGAATATGTTTATCTAATATGAGAGTGATTCATGTTAGTAACTAATGAGGTACTTATTTGGTCTATCTGAAAACTTTCATTTGCAGGAATGATGATTTTGATGTTGATCTTGAGGACATAATGGTCATGGAAGCCATATGGCTCTCCATCCAGGTAAACTTTTGATTTGGTAGGATAGGTATGTGCTTTTCATCTGGATGAGATGTCATGCCACTGGATTGTTTCCACTAGTAGTGCCAATTAACATTTAACAGAGAGAACCAGGTAGTACCACGCTGATAGGGAGATAGAGAAAATTCTTGTGTCCGGTTGCTGCCCCTTTGGTTAGGAATGTGGAACTTAGTTTCTAGGAAATGGAAATTAGTCCAAGTGGCGCCTGCCTTTCTCATTTGTCCATCATTTTAAACAGGGCTTCTGTTATGACATGTGCTTGTGGGGAATAATTACCAATAATTAGCACAATTTGAGAATCGAAAAGTACTTCTGTTGTACAATAAGCTTCACAACCATTGAATGTTGAACCGTAAATCTTGGAAGTTTGCCATTATATCATATGATTTGGCCTTCTATCTTGACATACCGACTTGTTGCATCAAGTTCTTACTCGTAATGGAATCTGTGTATTTCCTGTTAGGAGCTTTGGTTTAAGCAAGTTTGACACTCTCTGATGCTAGAATGTTTTTGTTTCAGGAAAACGGGATGCACGGAAATACAACGTGCGGTGATCTCACCTCTTCTGCAGAGTATGTAGCAGAAGATCGTTACGTTTCACCATCTATGGCGCCTGTTGTTGGATCATCGTTACCGTCATCTTCATCTCCATCTGGTGGGCTGGCTTGCGCAATCGCGGCCCTTGCTGAACGCCAGCAGCCGCCCGGCAACAACATCCAGAACGTGAATGCCTCCTCGTACAACATGCTTCCAGACAGCTGTACTGGCTATTACAGCAACCTAGTACAGCAAGAGGTGGACGGTAACGCTGCCGAGGCGACATGCCATGTGTCGATGAATGTGGGGGAGGCAGGAACGAGCTATGCAAGCTCTGACCTAACAGACGATAGCGGCAGTGAGATTGAGGGTTCAGGAAGCTTCCGGAATCTTCCACCACCACCTCCTTTTCCAGAGAGTTTCGAGGAGCAGATGATGTTGGCCATGGCGGTTTCTCTGGCAGAGGTCCATGCCACGGCAAGTGCACCCACCGGAATCACATGGCAATAATGCAAAAACAAGAAAAAAAGGTAATAGGGTTATAAGATAAAGTGGTTTTGCCATTCTGTTATGTCCGAATTGGATGGGTGATTGATTCAGATTTGTTAGTTTCAGGGTGGAAAAGGGTTATGTACTACACATGATTTTATTTCTTAGCTTAAAATAGAAAGAAAGGCATGGCTGCTTGGCCTTGGTCCCCCACACAAATGAATCTATCCTCTTTGGCTGTCCTGTCTTGTATTAGGAACAGAGTCTCTCATGGCCGGTTGTCTCCAATATGAAACACAACGTCTTGAACCCATGATCAGTTTTCTCTGTCTTCCCTTTGCTCTCAAAGCATCTGGACCAAACCTTGAGGGAACTTGGGAGAATTTGGTGTATGCTGAACCTGAAATGGTTCAGAGTCACTCTGAATGGGTTAGAGAATAAGAGTAATAGTTGAGGAGCAAGAGCAGCTGCCAAACATGTTTGTATAAAAGTGAAGATGGACTTGCCTCTCTCACACCTTTGGCTGTTTTTACTTTTAGGTAAACCATTTCCGATTTCGGTTCGATTTGATTCGAATTTGATTTTGATTGATAAAATATTTATTTTAAAAAATCATCTTTTCAAAATTATTTCTTTATTTGGTTTTGTTTTATTCGAATTTGATTTTTTCGATTTTAAAAAAATCATAACTATTTACTCCCTACATGTTTAAGACAAACTCATACATTAAAAAAATAATTATTTTTCTAAAATACTCTTATTTATTATGTAAAAATTTATTATTTCTAAATATATAAAACTTTTAAATATTAATAATTAGGGATAAATTTATAAAAACATTAAAAGTTATATGAAAAATCTCAAAATGTTATTTATTTTGAAACAAAAATATTATTATAAAACGTTATCTAATTTGAAATGCAAAGAATTTTTTTATATTAAATTTGGTTTAATTATTATTTAATTGGGTGGGTTCATTTTTTTCTTTCTTTTTTTTATGAACATTTTTTTCTTTCTTCTCTCCTCTTCATGTGAACATATACTATTTCAATAATAATGACAAATAGTAAGAAATAAATACGTTAAATTTACGATGTGAAAGTATCATGATATAGGTGTGTGTGCTCGCATTAAATACAGAAAAAAAAAATGTCAGCTAATATATTATATAAATTTTAAATTTTTAGTTCGTTGTACAAACAATAATATGTCCATATTGTGGTTTGCAAGTTATGTTTGGTATCTTTATGTCTTTTGGACACATTTGTACATGAAAAAATGTGTAATTGATTGCTTTGTGCATATATCAATATATATGTATATATATGTGTGTATCTATATGACAATGTTCCTGACAGTCTTTGTTTCGGTTTGTCGGTTTCCGCAAAGTTCAAACCCTTTAATTTTTTTTCCCGTTTTCCATTAGAAAAATCGTGTATAAATATTTAAATTTTTACGAAAATTTTAGATAAATATTTAAACTATAAAAATTTTAAATAAATAGATAAATTTTCCAAAAATCGATCTAAACTCTATATATTTTTTTCAAATCACTCGAAATTTTTTATTGACAACATTATATTTTTTTTAACGAAATCCAAAAAAAGGATAATTTCGCAATAAAAAATATAAATCATCTTTCCATGTCACATACTATATTTTATGTAATCTGATTTAATACTTAAAATTATGATCACAATTGAACCAAACCAGATTAAAATTATTAAACGATCAAAAACCCTAAAAATACTAAATTCCCTAAGTTCCCCCAAATCATTTGTTCCTATTAAATTCAAAATTTGCCAGAAAAAAATGGAGGCGGCACGAGAAGCAGACCACGGCATTTGAGCCGATGATATGTTTGCTTTATTGGTGAAGTCAAATATTGATAATTTGATAATTTTTGTATGTTATTCACATAGTTATTAAAAGTCATTTCTAATGAAATTGCATTGAATTTCTCCGTCAAAGCACAGCCCAAATATCACTATCTTACTATACTCAACATTCTCAAAATGATAGAAATAAAAGCAATCAAGGTGATTCAAACAATATAAATAAATTAACTAAAATTTTTAACGGTAAAATGGGAATTACACAATAAGAGACAAGATGTATGTATATATGGAGCTCATATCAGGCCTGTAAATTACATTTATGCCCTTTGCCTCTTCTTATGGTCCCTCCAATTTCAATTCCATTTCCCTCTAAGCCCCAGATCTCCAACTTTATTTCAAATCTCTCTCTCTCTCCAATAACAACAGAAAGCTACAAGCTTTCGCTGTTCTCCACATTTGGGTCTTCTTCTTGTTTTATGTTATTGTTCCTATTATCCAACTCCACACAAAGGGAAGACTTCTGTCCATCGCTTCTCACGTGGACATATATATATATATATGCATGTCTTTAACCACTGCCTGTTTTCAATTTCAACCGACATTTTCTCAATCTTTTCAAGGTAAGTTTCAACCTTTTCTTCTCCTTGAAAACCCATCACCGTAGCCTGATTTCTCTTTGATCCATTCTCTGGTGTCAGGAAGATGAACTTCTCCTTTGGGGCAATGAAAAATCTTGATTTCTTTGTTCACGTTCTTGGGTTTTTGTCTGAAACCTGCAAATGTGTTTCCACTGCTCTTAGGGTATTGTTTTTAGCAAAGAACACTGAAGATTTTTTGGTCTGAAATCTGCAAATGTGTTTTTTCTCTGCCTTTCACCAAACAAGTCAACATTTTTCTTAAAACCCACGTGCGTGAGGTGGCGCGTGGTGATTTATCTTCTACGCTTTCGTGGAATTCTCCGACATGAGTCTTCATTCAGTAGTTGATGTAATAAACTCAAATCTCCAACTTCAATGAGCTTTTGAGCTCTTAAATGCCAGAAATACCCTTCTCCTATAGATTCATATATATGTACACATGTAATGTATCGATGTACTTTACACTTGACAGTGCCCACATTCCATCAGATCATAACCTTCAAACTTCAATACCTCTTGGATCTTCCGCGGAAATCAAAATGCCGAGATCGAGGTAATAATTCAACACATGTTTATATGTTTGTCTCTGAGATTGTCTTATCTACACACAGAGCTCTTGTAAACATTCCTGATGATGTAATTAGAGTGTTTGGTTCTTCTTGTTGGAATCTTTTATTGCCAAAATGGCAAACAGTAAATCTAAGCTGAGGAGAGAACTAAAAAAGGTTAGAACTTGTGGGCGGTTTATGATTGGAACAGAGGTCCAGAGTTGCCTCAGATGCAATCTCCAAGGCTGAGGACATCAACTGCATTTTCTGATCCGAACCACCGCCGCCAACGTCCGATCACTGACCGAAGTCCACAGCTCGGTCTGGATCGTGGATCACCGAGGAGCTGTGGGTCCCACAATGATCTACCACCAAACCAGAAGAAGCTTGGAACCCGAATTTCTGATCTGGAGTCGCAGCTGGGACAAGCCCAGGACGAGCTGAGAGCGCTGAAAAAGCATCTGGCCACAACGGAGTCGGCCAAGAAACATGCTCAAGAAAAGCTTAAGAAGAATGGCAAGAAACCGAACAATGTGGCTCGTCTGGAGGGATCAGTCCCCGAGCCTAAGATGGCTGACAAAGATGAAGTTCCAGGTGAAGTGCAGCTAGAGACAGATGTATTCGAAGTTCCAGTTGAGAAGATCACGAGAGAACCAGAAGAGGTTGAAAAGCCAAAGGCAGATGAAGTAAACATGTTGAAAGCCAAACTGTACGACCTCGAGAAAGAAAGGGAATCACTTTGCAAGGAGAACGAGAGCTTGAAGAATCAGTTGAGTGACACGGCTTCAGAAATGAGAAACGCTAAGGCCAAGCAAGAGGAAATGGCTGCAGAGATGGATCAAATCGGGAAAGAACTTGAAGGAACCAGAGAAAATGAAGCTCAGATGAAAGAGAAGCTGGAATCAACAAAAGAGGCAAAACAGGCACTAGAAGCAGAGATGAAGAAGATGACATTACAGACTGAGCAATGGAGGAAAGCGGCAGATGCTGCAGCTGAAGCTCTAGCCGGAGGAGTCGAGGTCAAAATGAACGGTCGGGTTTCAGAAAGCTGTGGGTCAATGGACAAGAATTTCACACAAGGGTTTTTTCATTTAGGGTCGGATGAACATTCAGAAGATGGGTTAGGTAGTGGGAAGAGGAAGGGTTCAGGGTCAGGGATCAGGATGTTAGGTGACTTGTGGAGGAAGAAAGGGCAGAAGTGAGAAGTGTGGATTGCTTGTGACTGAAGAAAGCAATTTGAGATCTATTTATGTGGACATTGTAGTAATGAACAACATCATGAAGACTCATCTTGATCTTGCTTTTCCTGTGTGGTTCCATGTTATTTCTTCACGGCACTTCAGCTCTTAACAAAGTTCTACCCAAAATCATATCGAAAAAACTCGGTTCTAACGAGTTAAACCGATCTGTGAGAGAATTTTTTTTATGAAACCTGTAGTAGCAAAGAGCTCAATCCTCGTCGTCACTGCCATAATTCTGGCACAAGGATGTTAGTCCCGTGTTCGTCCTCACACCAGACTTGTCGGACTCTACTGGCTTTGCCTCTTCTGATTTTGACGGAGCAGCTGGCTTCTTGATGACCGATATCCGAATGGATTTGAATGGATTATTAGTATGACTAGTGTTGCTTTTCTTCGGCTCGCTCGGGTTTTCTCCGGAACTGGCCAAAATATCCGTGGGGTTGCTAGGACCTTCTTCCGAAGCAGCCTTTCTCTTCTTTGAAGCATCTGAAGATGATGGTTCCTTGTTCCCGTCACGAAGGCCAGTGATATCATCATCCAGTTCTTCATCTGCAATCCTCCGGATGACTTCTTTCGGCTTACTGAATATCGACTTTATGAGTGGTTCGTCCTCTTCTTCCAATCTTTTTTCCTGTAAAAAAAAATCAGAATCCACATAAAAGGTGATGTTACATCAGAGGGGCATGCATTTGTGAAGAACAACAAAACTGGCTTAGCCTTCCTAAATAAACTACAAAGACAAATAAAACTCTGTTTTGAATGCTATACACTAAATAATGTGTAATTAACCACCACCAGGTCACAGCTCGAAAGACTTTATCCAGACGCTAAGACAACTTAAATCTTTGTTTCGTAAGTAACTTAGAAAAGCATGTCAAAACATTACGTATACGAAAAAGCAAAAAGACCTCGGACACTGCACCTTTTCAGCTGCTGTTCTTTGCAAAGCCTCCAACATTGTATCCACACTGACAGTAGCGTGCCTAGACTGCATGCAGAGAAACAAAAGAATGGTAATTAGTACCAATAGATTAATGATAAACAACTAAAATACTATGACACATCAAGAATCAATTTCCGCGCTGTAAAGCTGGCGTAACATATATCATACCTTCATAGATTTCATTTCATCAAGTGCTGCTATAATATCCATCTCTCTTTTTGAATCCAGAGTTCTATTCTCCAAGGATTTCATCGCATTCCCCATCTCTTCAGCTTCTCGTTTCCCTTTCTCCTTCTCAGTTTCCTGGTAAAGAAGGAAAAGGTAACAGGTTAATCAACTTGGAAATATATATATACACAAACCTCCACGCTCTGTGACAAAGTCAACCTAAATTTGAAATCCTTACCTCATCTTCTGCACGCCAGGGTTCGAAGTTACGGGTTGCCCCAGATTCGACAACATAATCAGAATTTTGTGGATCAGTCTTCATGGCCAGCTCGGCGGAGCACTTGGTGCACTTGAAGTAGAACCTAAATATTTGGATCCCCAGATATGTCTGCACAAGACAAGGAACATAACAAAACCCATTGAATAACAATGCCTCAGAGACATCATTGAGCATAAATATTCGTGTATTGTACACCCCAGTGTGTTAAACTCATCTCCTTTTCTGAACAAAATCTGAAACTTTTAGGGTTCAAGATATGTTTAGGCAATTATACTTTGTGATGCTGATATGAAAAACGAATCCTTTTATTGCAAGTCGAATAACAAGAATGCTAACCCCTTCGAACAATGACCTTTTAGATCCTTAGCTTCCACTGTTTGAACAAGTATGATCCCAGTCTAAGTGATCAAAACTCCAAGAGCTGGATTGATTACTTATACTTTCCGTTTATGACCAAAACACCCAATTTCATCAAAACCCTAAAATCCTAATTCTGATTCGCTGCAGAAATGTTTCGATTCATAAGATAACAACAATAATCCCTGAATCTTCACTGAAAGCTCTAAAAATTCAATCACATGGCATGCCCATTAACCCTAAAGCTCGTAAAGCATCACAGATTCAAACGAATAAAACAGAGAACACAATATCAGGCCGAAAATCGAGAAGCCCAAAATAAAAAGCTGAAAAGAAAACGAATGATCCTTACTTCGCCGATGACATCCTCTTTGCGGGAATTGAACTTGGTACCCTTGTAGATGTAATTCCCACAAGTGTTGCAGCGAATGCTCATCGGAAGCATCATACGAACCTTAATCTGTTGATTCTTCGGTCGCCGGAGCCGGGGAAGCTTCGACGGATCGAAATCCGGCGGGTAATACTTGTTCAGAACTTTCCTCTCTCCCATGTTCCCTTCTTCTTCTTCGCCAAGCTCCTCCTTCTCCTAAGCAAAATCACAGAAACAAAAATCTCTCCTTATGAATTTCTCTTCTTCTCCTTATCACCTTTAGTTAGGGTCGCTGTAAAATCTTCAAACGTTCCACCGCTGGAAATCGGTTTACGGATAACCGGTTACCGGTTCCGGTTCGATCAAGTCCTTGGATATAACCAACCCACCTAACCGAGCCAAATTTAATTTGGCTTAAATCCAGTACCATACCAAAACAAAATTTTCTTTGATTTATTGACAAAATCTAACAGGCAACCGAACAAAACTAAACCAAACCAAAATTAATTTAGCGGGAGTATTAGTAAACCGGTAAAACCAAAGCTTCCCCGTACATTGAACCTATGTTACATAACCATGATTCCTCAATTTGATAAATGATAATTAACCAAAACATCCACAAACTTCGACAAACATTATAACTAAGTGGGGTTAATCCCACAAAAACCTCAAACTTGTTAAAATGTTTCATACTTGTAATCTCCCACAGAAAATCGTGAATTTGGTAAAAACTTCCACAAAAATTACAAACTTATAATTTTCTTCCATATAAAACCTTTGACTTGTTTGACCAAAAAATTTGCTGACGTGGCATGCCGAATTGTTGACATGGCGGAGACTCACATGCCACGTCAACGCCACGTCATCATTTTAAAAATTAAAATATTTAATAAAAATATATATGTACAAATATATATATAAATTTATATATGTACAAATATATATATAAATTTATATATGTAAATTTATATATTTGATTAAAATATTTGTATATTTAAAATTTTAAATTATAAACTTAATATATATACAAATATATATATATATAGAGATTTGATAATAAAAAATATATATGTATGTATGTATATAGGTATATGTATATATATTTGTATATTTAAAATTTTAAAATACAAACTTAATATACATATATATATACATATATTTGATAAAAAAAAAATATATATGTATGTATGTATATAGGTATATATATATATATATATTTGTATATTTAAAATTTTAAAATACAAACTTAATATACATATATATATATATATATATATTTGATAAAAATATATATATGTATGTTTGTATATAGGTATATATATGTATATTTAAAATTTTAAAGGTACGCTTAAACCTCTTCTCCAAATTTTTCCAGATTTCAGGAGCTAAATCCAAATATAAAATCTGAGTACGAATTTCAGATGAAACTGAATTCGTTAACCAAGTAGTTACCAGATCGTTGCATCGCATCCATGGAGAATCATCATCATCGTCTTCTGGTCGAGGAATCTTGCCAAGAACAAAACGGAGCTTGTTCTTCGCATTTAGAGCCTTCATAACGGCTCTGGACCACACATTGTAGTTCGCTTCTCCCAGAAGCTGCTCTTTGACTAAAATGAAGCTTGAAGAATCCGCTGCATGAAGATACAGAGGATTTGCATATAAAATTTATATTTAAAATTTTAAAATGATGATGTGGCATTGATGTGATAGGTGAGTCAGTGCCATGTAAGCAATCTGGCGTGCCATATCAGCAAAATTTTTGGTCAAACAAATCAAATGTTTTATATAGAAGAAAATTGTAAGTTTATAATTTTTGTAGAAGTTTTTACCAAATTCAGGATTTTTTGTGGAAGATTATAAGTTTAGGGTTTTATATGGAACATTTTAACAAGTTTGAGGTTTTTTGTGGGATTAACCCTAACTAAGTGTATTATCTGAAACACACAAATACCAAAATCCAACAAAGTACTCTCAATAGTAAGACAGAGAGACATGTCCCAGAAGCAATGCAACAACGGCAAAGGCATAGGGACATATGTTTCTTCTCTTCATGTCCTGTGCTTTTCACCTGGTGACCCTGTAAGCCTGCAAGAAACATTTAACCAGAATCAGAGGCTTTGCTTCAGGATGAAACGGATTAATCTCGAGCTGAAAAGGGAAGCAGAGCCGAGATGATTTATTACCTTAACCTGTTTGAGCAGATTCTTGGCACGTTCATTGTTCTTGAAATGATCTCGGACAGGCTGCATTGTGAATATCATATCGGAAGTAACACAATCATTTGTGGACCGACATATGGATATCGTTCTTGATAATATCATATCATTAGGGGCTTACTTGCAGTATCTTATTCAAGGCTTTGGAGAGTGCCGGCTTTAGATCTCCGGGATTCAACTCCCCGCTCTTGTAGTCATCGACTATTTCTTCAAATTCTGTGTAGGTCCTGTGACGTTGAAATTAGAAAGTTATTCTTTTTCTGCTGCAATTAAGCAGAATTCTCAATATAGTAAGATTAGTAGAATATTTACGAAAAGCTCGTAAGCGAGAGTACTCACTTTTTACCGCTGTTCTTTTCATTCCGTTCAACCGTGAACTCGTGAAACCATTGCAATACGATGTATTCAAGGCATGGGTTCCCTTCCACGATTTTCGGAGGGCAATATGCTTTCTTGATCTTGAAATTAACTTCTGCCTGCAAAGACAAGAACCATTAAACTAAACTCTTCACCTCCCTTCCAACTCTTACTTAACTAGCTGCTTTACCAACCTCGTCATCTTCCATAAAAATGGCAGACAAGGGATCACTTTTGGACATCTTTTCTTGTCCTTGTTGAAGACCCGGAAGCATATCTGCAAGGGCAATACAGCTGAAGATGATAAATGATAAAAGTAAACGGGTACAGCGGACCGAAAATTGAACAGAAGAAGCAGAACATACGATGGGATAAGATAATGGGTTTATTTTTCCTCTTTATGTCGTCACAGTATTCTCTTGCAAGCACGTTTACTTTTCGTTGATCCATTCCTAGCTGACAAATATCAGCCTGCACGAGTAAAACAAGAAGTTTCATCACCAATCTTAGGCACGTCATGAAAAGGCAGAGACACGTGATAAAGACAACATTACTTCCATTGAGTTAAATGTCAATTATATCAACACGATCTCAGATATGCGCACACATAATCTTTGTCCAGTCCAAGGAACATGCATGTATGAGGAGTTTTTCAACAAGGAACCAGTTTTCCCAGACTTTCTTCAGAATGAGATTTCAACCGGTGATTTAACTTGCAAAGTTTTTATTGTAAGTAATTCTAAATTTTGTAATCCAATGAACTATATGCATTAGAACACCGTTACATGTGATTCCTCAAACTATGTACCCAAACTACTAAAAAAATAATATACCCAAACTATGTGTATATATATATAGGAGCACCTCGAGGAAAAAAATATCCGCACACTGCATACATGGGTAAAGAATCTGGGCAGCACTCAGCTCGTCTGTCTCACTTCGTCCCATGATCTGCACACACCTAACAAAGTTGGAAAACGTATTATTTAGGCCTGTGATTGTTGTTACAGAACTGAATGAATGAAGCGAAAGTTTCAAAGTATACCTTAAGATTCGAGGGAGCTTGTTTCTGCGAGCAATGTCCATGACAAGAGGCCAGTACTTATCTGCCCGAGCATTTATTTCTTCAGATGACCACAGGAATTCCACCTTGTCATCGTTCATCCCAGCAGCCTTCCATATCTCCTTGAAGTATTCTCCAACAACTTTGATTTTCTTCAGGTCACCGCCCATTTTGTTGTTCAACTGTGCAAACCAATCAGCAATCCAAATTTTCACTCGGCAACCAGCTGAAGTCAATTTGTTCACGTTGATAACCTTCATCACTCCCTGTTACAGAATAACAGAAGCCTCTTACACAAACCATTGAAGTAAATGGAAAAGTAGCATAGACTTAATGTGTTTGAACAAGCTCAGAAGAACAGAAGAAAAAAGTTTCAGTTCCATGGGTAAAATCAAATCTACATATGAATAAAATACTCCTCAAACCCCTGACATCTTTCAATTCTCTCGTATCCTTCAAATTCTTCTTACAGACAACTTTATAAATGAGTGAAGCTCATTACATGAGAATTATACCTAATATAGCAGAGGGTATCTCCAGGCTTGCTTGATTAATCAAATATCTTCCACCTTTTCTCACTGCGATTGGTTAACTATCTTATAAAACGTGAAGCTGAAAGATGAGAGAAACATCAGGACTGCCCATCATATGCCCCTTCAGAATCAAACAAGTATATCAGAAAGGTAAGCAACCTGTGCAATATGCATCCTTCCGGAGGGTTCAAAACCATCATAGCAAATCGGAGCAACCTTCTTGGTGAGAAGATTCCTCAACTCATCCTCTTGTATGCATTCCTCACCAACACTCCTCACAATCTGGAATCTCTTTTCAATGTCCCCCTCACTTATCCTAGATAAAAGGACTCAACCCGATAAACCGACATGTACATAGCAACTCATAATAGATCTATTACATGCGCAAAATTGTACAAAAATCCACAACTTTTTCTGATTTTATACCAACACTCAACAGAGAACTGACCGATTTTTATGAAACTTGTAAGGAAAAATCAACTCATGAGACACCCAATTCAATCCATCTGACCTATCGTATGCAACAATGTGTGCATAACACATGGGGGGAGTACAAGGAAAAGCAACAAGAGAACTCACTGGAATCCAGTGGCTGAGAAAGATGCTGATTTCGCTCCCTGTACAGCAAGAGCCTCCATCTCCTCCACAGGCACCAGAATATTCTCCGGAGACTGCTCAGCCATCGAAACTGCCGCTGCTACATGAGAACAATGATTTAAAATAACCCCTGGCAAAGGGCAACAACTCTAAAACGTCGTGTTATTATAGAAAGTATTGCCGTTTCGATTTATTTTCAAAGGCGAAACTAACCAGAGGACCATAAGTCCTATGATTCCAAACACTCCTATTGCTCCAAACTACATAGGACTCATCATTATTAACTGGGAACTTCAGGAAACATAAAGCCGTCTGATCACAAATTTTCTACTGACACACAAACAGCTTAACAATGCTGATTTGTCACGCTATGGAGGGGATGTAACAGTAACTATAATCAATTGGATGAAAATTTCGACGAAATTCTACCAAACCTACCGACGATAACGTGCTTCAGATTGGAAAAAAGGGTTCCTGTTAATTGATTTTAAGGAACAGGGGAAAATATTCCCAGATAACAATCTGGCTCTAGAGCATTGACTGAATGACAGCCAAGGAAGCAAACATCATTGGCTCGAGCAATCATTCAGGAGAAAGAACAAAACAGAACAAGGGGACAGGTCGGTATTACACAGGCACATGGATCAGACCAAAGGTTAAGAAAAAATCCAGAAGTTTAATCTAAGACATGAGCACTCCACAGTCCAATCAGTAAATTCAATTGGAAAACAAACGCGTAAAATCATTTCGCACAACATTACTGCCCGGAATCACATTAATAATCGAAATTAAGCCCAGAAATTTACCCAAGAAGGCAAACATCTACGATCCCATGTACACAAATTCTTACAAATGGAATCGAAATCGACAGACATTTTCGGTTTCACTGATAGAGATTAAAAATAAAACAGGAGAAAGGGAAGGTGAACGAGCGAAACAGCTCACCGGAGATCGGCGGCGTAGAAATTGCGAAGAAAGGACAAGGTTTCGATATTCCCGATAGGGTTTCAAAAAAAAAGAAAAAGTGCCCGGAACTACGGTAAGGGCATTTCTGGAATTTCAGTAGATAGCCGCCGCGGTTCACGTCGTTTCGGTCCTTTGTTTAGCCCGGTTCGGTTTGGGAAAATTCACATGCCAAGCTAACCACATACTAAACCGGATTTGCTTGAATTGAAGCCGCATTAAAATCAGGATAGTTGAAAACCCTAAACTAAAGTAGTGTATTTTATACCAATCCCAAATAAATAAATAAAAAAAAACAATATTAGAATGCAATAATGTTTTTAATAAATATCTGTGATATTTTTTTTATATTTTGTATGCATGCCTTTGGAACGTAATATTTTATTATTGGTTCATAACATCCTCGAAAGCTGATTCCTTTGGAAAGGGATGAGCCTGTTGTCGGCCAGCCTAGAGTTGAAGGCGGAGTTCTTGTAGTCAGACCAAGTGAACTCTTCGTATAGATTGTCGCCGTCGCCGCCGCCGCCGCCGCCCCCCTCCTCGTTTGTGAGGGAGGAGAGGGAGGATGGTATGAGAAAGAGGGGGCCCACCGAAATAAATAATGGAAAGCCTCGATCTCTCACTGTTCGCCATCACTCTATGCCTCACGCTTTTGAACCTCCCGTTCGTCATCACCTTCACACACACACACATATATATATATATATCTGCCCGAGCATTTATTTCTTCAGATGACCACAGGAATTCCACCTTGTCATCGTTCATCCCAGCAGCCTTCCATATCTCCTTGAAGTATTCTCCAACAACTTTGATTTTCTTCAGGTCACCGCCCATTTTGTTGTTCAACTGTGCAAACCAATCAGCAATCCAAATTTTCACTCGGCAACCAGCTGAAGTCAATTTGTAATCTACATATATATTATTTTTTTTCTTTTGTTTTCTGTTTTTTTTATGTAAATGACGCTAGCTATAATAACTTGAATTTGACGAAAAAAAATTGTATATGAGATAAGTACTTATTTATATGGAGATTTGAGATGAGAGATTATACGGAGGGTATTGAATATTATGAAAAAATAGTTATATATATTTCTTGTAATACTAAATTTTTTACTAAAACAAACTACGTCTTCTATTTAAATTTAAATTCACGACAACAATCCTTGTAATGACGTATCAATATATATATATATATATCCACTAATCTCGATATATATATATATATATATATATATAGGTATATATCCACATGCATGGAATGAAATTCACTCGAAAGGAAAATGTCAAACAATGGCAAAGATCTTCAGGACAAGGAGCGACGTATCTAACCACTAAAAAAAATAATCATGCCAACGCATTGTGGTGACCAATATACCGACACACTCATGAAACATAAGTACCATTTAATTAGTCCCCACCCCTTATTTATTCCAATCCAACGTGTTAGGTTTTCACCTCAACCCATTTCTATAATATGAACATATATATATATATATATATATATTAACAAAAAAAAACATATATATATATATATATATTTCGTCGGTTCACCGTAAAACCATTTGGTCATATATAATCGACTCATTTCATTAGAATATCATCTTAAAAAGTTATAAGAACGAGAATGAAACAAGACTATCGATGATTACAAGGGCATCGTTACCATAATCATTACCACGATTAGTTAATGCCCTTATAATGAATACCTGCAAAGAGTCGCCGACGTTGAAGAAGAAGGAAGAATGGTCGGGCGGGATTGAGATCCAAGAACCGTCACGAAGAGCGATTTGGAGACCGGAAGTGTTGTTGGATCTCAGGACAGAGATGATCTGAGGATCCGTGTGTTCTCCGAAGCCGATAACGCTCTTCACATTGGCGTTCTTGAGGAGAGGACAGGGAGGGTAGTGGTTTAACCTTAACATGGAATCGCTCTTTTGGTCGGTTAAGAGTTTGCTTAACGTATTCCTCGGTTGAACCCCTAACCCATCGGCCATTATCTCTAACACTTCACATGTCATTTTTCTCACTGACGTTATGTATTCTTCTATTGCTCTCCTGCCCAAATCAAACATTGGTTTCGTTTCAATTTCCACCAACAAAAACGGCGAGGAATTGATACAACTTGTCATGTCACTATTGTCAAAAAGATACATTTTATGAATGGTAGGTACGTCGAATCAATCAATATTTATTATGGCGCCCGACTTTACATGTTCTTAAAATATATTATATAGCGAACATGTCTTGTTTTCCCCCGAAGTTTAAATAAAATACCCATGTTTAGACATGAGATGACTCCTGTCATGTTATAAAAGACAGAAAATAACACATAACCAGTTAATCGATGTAATTAATAAGATACGGAGTCGTTATTATAGACAAAAGAGTTGAACCCATAGATCAGGACATAGCGAGAAACAAAGCTTCGATCTGGGAAAAGAATAAGTAATGACGGATATTGAAAAAGAGCTATCGAACCTGATTTTTCCCGGGTTTTTCAAGAAACCCGAATCAAGATTCGCGTTCATCAACAAGTATTCAACCCAACCCACGTCACCATTCCGACCAATCTTCCTGTTCCCGTAGCCAAAAGGGTCACCAGAATCTCCGGCGGCTTTGGTTTTCTCCGACATGGGCAAGGAGAAGAACTTGACAGCTTCTTGTTCCAAACGGGAAATGGGCTCCGTGGGAACGCCATGGTTGATCACCTTGAAGAATCCAAAGTCCTCGCAGGCTCTCAAAAGGTCGTGTTTGGATTCTGGGTCGGAGATATCCACGATCGGGATTGATGTAAACCTTGTGGCGTGCGGCGAAAAGGTCGTGTTTGGATTCTGAGTTTCTACCACCATTTTTTGCTTTTGCAGTGTTTTTTTTTTTGCGTGTTAGATATGGAAGCTGAGACATCAGAGTTATGCGTCAGTCATGGCCATTTATAGAGAGAGAGAGCATACGATGCCGTACGATTGAGTTCCAACTAAATCACGGCACGTAGACCTGAACATCTAGAAGATATTCAAATTTTGGATATTTAAATGAATCACGTTAGAACCTAAACTCGCTTTGTTACTACCATTTGGCATTTACATTAAAATTTGATTTAAATGTTTTTTTTTCTATATTTTGTAATCTCGACTATGACGACTGGATTACCAGAAAAATTGAATATCATTAAATTCAGCAATTGTTTTTCAACAAAACTATTAAAAAATTTATAAAATTTATCAAGTGGTGATCTTTTTTCTCAATTTCTTAATTATTATTATTATTATTATTATTATTATTATTATTATTATTATTATTATTATTATCCAAACATTAATCGAGATCTAGTAACTAATTGAATAAAAGATATAGTTAAGGTAATGTATAAATTTGAATTTATCAAAATGTTTTAGTGAGACAAAACATTATGAATAAACTCAAATTTTATTGCTCACAAACTATGCTAAATATCATTTGAGAAAGTTTAATTTATTAAATTATTTGAAATAAATCTTAAGAAATTAAATTTGTTAGCACTTTTTTTTCAAATTCTTAGGAAATAAAATAAATGTACAAATTTTGAACATTTTATTTTCTTTATCTTCTTGTTCGGAACCAAATAAAAGGAATAAAATAAGTTCTAGTTCTGGTAAGAGACAAAGAGACACGTGTTCTGAAGACAAGCCAAGTCTTGTCTGCATGGTTGTCAGATATGTCTTCGTGTTTGTGGGCTCTAAAATCCTTTAATTTTTATTTTATTTTTAAAACTAACATTATTTTGAAAATTATTTAAATTTTGTTATTTTACTTTCTAACTTTCTACATTACTAACTATCTATCGTTACATTTTCCCTTTCTAAGTTTTTTAAATACATATTCACTTTCTATTTGATTCAATAAAAAATCAAAGACTCAACAGATTAATTTTTTCACAAAACAGGCAAAAATTATAAAGATATATTAGGTTGATTAAGTAAATAATATAGAGCTGATAATTCATTAAAAGAAGATGAGAAGCATTAAATGGCCCGAAAATAAAACTTCCTTGTTTAGGGTATGCGATAGACATATAATTAATTAATAAAAAATAAACTATATATAATCCATTCATTAGTTATTGAAATGATTAATAACCAACAAAAGATTTATTAAATAAACTTATAAGCTTCATATAGAACTGTAGGTGATCCGATATTAATGATAATCTCGTTTGAGGCCGAATAACACTCTATACTATATGGTATCAATAAGTTTATGATTATTTGAAATGATCATATGGTTAATTATTTGGGTGAAACATAATTATACATTTTTTCATAAAAATTAATTATTTATTAGTATTCTACTTGATTTCATATATCCAAAATGAAATATCTATTTCTATCCAACACAATAACCATCATTTGAAGATTTTTCTAATTGAAAACTGTTAAACCGATATTTTTCTAGATTATTATCCAAAAAATAGAATACTGCAAATCTAATGTTTACAATATCTAGGTTCATTGGTTAAAAAAACCACTGTTATATTGCACATGTTATAAAATGTTACATATGAATATCACAAATTTTGTAAAAAAATATTATAAAAAGAGCCGACAATATTTTTGTATACATATATTACCAATTTAAATTTAATCTACACTTCTACACAGAGCGTACCAAAAATTCAAAGATGAGGAGATGAAATCGACACGCTGCAACACATACACCTTTGTTTTTTCTTTTGTGTTTTATTTGATCGTACGTGCTATTTTCCTTATATTATAATATATTATTATGATTACGCAAGCCCACTATATATTATATTATGTAAAACCTTGGTACGTATCTTAATTATGTATCAAATAAAAAGTTCATAATTTATGAATGAGCGAGAGAATAATTGAGACGCACTATTATTATATAGACGACCTTTTGACCTGGAGATTTGACACAAAGGTTGCTATATATATATATGAATTTCTATAATACATATAAATTATATATATATGTGTGTGTGTAACATATAAATATGTAGCTGTGTCTGATACAATAGGGAAATAAACCAGGGATGTTGCGGTGCCACGTGTTCTGCAGTTTTAGGTGAAGCATAATGTGTCAGTCAAAAACTAAGATTCACAAAACATATGATTATATATTATATATAGTGGACGTACATGGAACATGATGGGTTCATCGTATGCCCAAATAATTTAGATTCCAATATTTATTTTGTTTGCATCTTATTTATAATTAAAATATTGAAAAAAAGTAAAGAATTAGAGGAAAAAAATCTCATCCCGACCATGTTGACCGGGTAGTCGTAGATGGTTAAGAAAGAAAGGTGAAGTTCTTATTTAATATCTCGTGTTCGAATAACGGATGAAAAGATCCACAATTTAATTATAATATACAAGTTATCTTTAAATTTTGGAAGATATAGTCGAGTCAAAAATTTCGAGTTAAAAAAAAAAATCTTGAATTTTATACTATTTATTTGTAGTAAGGATTATTTCAGTTCTATTATCCAATTGGATTAAATTTGAATAACTGAATCGAATAAGATAACTAAATTTAACTTGAATCAAATATAAAACTAATTTTAAAATTAAATGAAAACAAAGGAAACGGATATTCTTTACAAAAAACTAATTATAGATAGAAATAATATTACAAAAAAGAAATTCAATATAGAAAATGAATGACTATAATTGTTCAAAAACAAAAATCTTGAATATGAAACCAAAAAAAAAATCCAAATATCCATCCCTAATTATATATATATATATGTATGTGTGTGTTTTGTAAATTTGTTTAGATTTTTTATAGTTTTTTTTTAATTTGATGTATTTTACATGTATTCCATAAAGATAAAATCATAAACATATATCATACAAATTTCTTTTAAATGAATATTTTGAAAGAAAAAAATTCAGGATTCTTAAAACATTTTGATATATTGGCCAAGTTGGGCCCTTCATTTCATGTATATTGTTATCTAAATGAATTTACTGCATGAACATTTGATATATCACTCATATATATAATATTTATTACTGCTATGCATGGAATAAATAATTTTATTAAAAATATTAAATAATTTAGGGTTTCTTAAGGGATAACCATTGTGACTTGTGAGAGACAAGAGCCGACATGCACTAACTAAATGTGTACGTACGGACTTTAAAAGAGAGAACATAACACATTCATTATATCATTAAATGCTATACAAAGCAAAACACCATAATGTCGGTTCGTTTGTTAAAATCACTGATGTTATACAAATATATATATATATAATACTACTAATTTTTTTCAATGTAGAAATCATTATTCTACAAAGCTTAGGTGGTTAGGTTACCAAGCCAATAATTACGGTAATGACGGTTCATTTCCTTAATATTTAATTATTACCCTTATTTTAAATGATTAATGCCGCCTAATTAATATCGGTGGATATAGAATCATAGATACATCATACACCATGTTTTTTTTCTTTTACTAAAAAATTTAAGTTTGGTTGTAGCAATAATAGGCGACATTGTGATTATATATATAGTTAAATTGTTTGATACTTAATGTTACAATTAATTATTGAAAAAATGTAATTTTTTTTAAATTTTATAATATTGATAATTTTAAACTAGATAAAAAATAGGATAATTAACATATACATTTAATATTACATAAAAATATTGTTTGTCTAATATATTCTTTTTTGTGGTATTTCAAAGTTTGCTTTTGTAGCATTTAGTAGGAGATTGTGATTAATTAACGATAAGATAGAAATATAATATTTCTTTCTCATTGTTTTGCTTCAATTAATAATTTGCACATTCAAAATATTCCTTCATGCATGCAAAATGATGATTTTATTTCGTGTATTACTATATACATAGACCCACATATACACGTTCTCTTGTACCAATTTAATGTATACATACATATATATATATATATATGTATGTATATATATATACATCGGAAATTTAATGTATACATCGGAAATTTAATGTATGCATAATCAGCATCAAACGTATAGATATACATGTCAAGAACAACAGTTGTATACTGCTTATTGCTTAAGCATCTCACTAACCACTGTACGTAGTAGAGTCTCATGATCAATGGATGCTCCATCTCTCCCTTCCCTGTTCCTTTGCCTCTTCCAGAGATCGAGGAGCAAACTACGTACGGACCTTAAGAATGCTACATGACCCCTGTGATGATGGCCTGATAAGAAAAAGATTCATCGTAACCGGTGATGAATCCGGTTTTGTTTTTTGGGAAGCAGTGTCATTCCCAAAGTCCCTGCAAGCCAAAGACCTCCAATGGCAGTATAAGCAATCCAGCCCCTCTTGTTCGCATTCCATGATTCAGATATTCCAATGGAGGAGCTAGCTGATTGTCAGAAACGGATGATCGATAACCTTCGACTGAATCGGTTTTAGGAGTCACATTCTTCACATAATATCGTCTCACGAGCAATGCTAGGATAATTAATAGCAAACGGAGAAAACACCTGATAGAGAATGTCACAGTTGGAGAAAAAACACCGGATGCACCAAGCGAGAGTAGCATTAATAGGGTGATACCGGTTTTCCGGATGAACCAATACAAATCGTGGAGGAATCATATGAGCTCAAACAACCGGAATGGCATACCGAGCTTGGCATGTGATCATGCCCTCGAATTCACATATATACCTACCAAGAAGTTAGCCCGTGTCATCCCAATTTGATCAGAGGCAACTAAAAAGCAGTGGTCACGTCCATCTCGGCGTGTTCCATCGTCGCGGTCAATGCCAAAGCCATCAGGCAAGTAAACCACAGTGATCATACACATCGAACCCACCAAACCAATTGGTAAATCCTTTGAGGGGTTTTCGGTTTTTTCAGCAATGTTTGCAAAACGTATAAGATCAGTACACACGAGCTGCTCACAGGGAAACGCCCTTTGCTCCCTCGAGGAAAAAGGGCACCAAATTGGACCTTTTCTGAACGACTAAACCCCAAAATGTTCATAGATACGATAACATAGACTGTGACCATGGAAGTTAATCACGTTCAACTACGAAGTCTCCACTTCGTTCCACTCATGGCCATGCCATTAGCAATCAGGACAGCAACAACAACCGGGGCCAGTAGATCAAACCCTTTAGCAAAAGATTCGATCTTATTCCAAAAATTGTCCGAATCGTTATCGATTATACTAGCCAAATACGCAGACCGCCATGACCTCCATAACTCAGTAGCACTAACAATGGCATCTAATGGAATATTCCTAGCAGCAATAAATGCGAGGAAATCCCCCAATTTCAGCCCTAATATACGACAAAGAACTCCGGAGACAGGAACCTCAACCTCAAATTCAGCATGACAAGAGACAGAGCGCAAAGCGGAATACCAGAGAGAGCGTAGATACTTATAGGAGAGAAGGGTAATAACACCAGCGGGAGAGGAGGCAATCGGCGAGAGGAGGACACGTGGAGGAGATAACGGTTATGGAAGGAGAGACCCCGGGAAGAAATCATGCTTCGCCATCTCCATTGGCTTCCGATGACGACGGCTGAGCTTCCATGGATTATCAGAAGTTACGAGATGATTAAATGTTTTAATAATTAGTTATATTTAGTATTAATCAGTTTGTTTCACGTCTCTTTTTAATTAAAAAGGGAAAAAAATATTAATAAAAGAAAAACCATTTCGGCTACACCATATAAATATAATTAATTGAGGTATTTATAAATTATAGATTTTTGTTGTTATTTTCCTTTTTTTAATCGTCATTTTATTTGTGATGATGCATAAGATAAATTAAATCTCTAATAAAAGGATTTAGTTATCCAGAGAAATAAAACAATTCTTATTTGGATCATATTAATTATCACATATTTTAAAACAATTACGAATGATTATGGGCGTGACTGGTGCACACGCAATCGTAGTCTCAACGATTGTGGACGATTGCGATATGTTTGTTGGGGCCGATTGGTAGTAAATAATAAAAATATTGTTGTTGATAATGATTGCGGTTGGTTACGATTTAAACTGAATGTTTGATAAGGATTGCATTTGCAATTTGGTATAAATTACCAAAAAAGAAATCATTTTTAATTAGGTTTTTCAAAATATTTTTATAATTATATTTTTTCAAAATATTTTTAATTAGTTTTTTATATAACAATTAATAACAAATTTATAAATAATTAATTGTAAAAATATTATAACATATAATTACAATAAAAAACATATATACCAAACAAAATATATAACATACTAAAACAGAATATTATTTAGTTCCTAAAACATAATACCAAAAAATAAAACAAAACACAATACAAAACAAAATCATCATATATATATATATATATATATATTTATATATATAATATTTTTTTACACAATTGGAATAAAAAATACTATAATGACTAGAATTAGCGCGTCAAATTCCATATCTCTTGAGCGTTATTATTTCTCACATTTGTCATATACACATTAGTTGTCGGATCATAGAATCGATCATTATCGATATCATGTGTAGAATCTTGCATTGTAATTTGGATTTCATTTTCTTCACTACCTTCCTCACTCTCACACATAGGAATCGACAAAGCATGATAATCAAAACTGCGTATTATAACAACCTCTGGTTGCATGATAATACAACAGTCACATCTCCACAAACCACATCCAAAAGTGGGATGAACTTTAAAGAGTTTGTTCGGATTTTTTCAGTCTTTGGATAAATCTTGAAAAAAAAAAGGAGTATACATCAGGTGACGAATAATACAACAAAGAATTATAATATAAAATCAGTATTTTATAAATTTACCTCGATTTTGCTTTTCCACCAATGGTCAAAGGCTTGAAGAGTTCCAATAACAGGATCAAATCCAAGGTCGGTCGCTCCATGAGTGATCTTTCTATAGATGTAATAATCTCTCTTCAAAGTGTCAATTCTATTTTTAAATTTTCCATAGTTCAAAGTTATCCCAAATATTTTGTTAAATTCTCTAGCCATGTTTGTCTTTCCAACGTCACTTAGATTTTTTCCTTTTGTATGCTCGACTTCTTTCTCTAATATATAGAGATCTAACATAACTCGAGTCATCTGATCCAACCAAATGATTTTTCAAAAAATTATAAAGTATAAATCACCATCACAATAAGTTGGAGTTTAAAGAACATAATCAATGTGTAAATTTTGGTTTAAAGTTGTATTCACCTTTTTATGATGTTCACTTCCACTTCCTGATACCATATTTATATGCCAATAGATTTTTCAAATCTGTAAGAAAAAATTAGATCCATTAAAATTATTATAACCTACAAAAATGTAAGATTGATAACAACGAAAAAGAAACAAATTATGTCTTTGCGATGGTAGCAATCCTTTGCCAAATGTCCAGTCTTGTCACAAACGTAGCAATTTCCCTTGAATTTCTTGGAGTTGACATTCTTATCAATCTTCCGCTTTTTACTCCCTTTGACCTCAGTAGTCTCAACGATATTTGCCTTGGATCCAAATTGTCTATTCATTTTAAGAATAGGTTGAGACTCCTGTAGAATTCTTACACGACGATGCAAATCCTTCAAAGACATGTCCTTAGGTTTTTGTCTCAGGTCATTCTTGAAATTCGTCCAAGATGTAATTTTTCAAACAGAGTTGCCACCTGGAACCGTTCATTTACCATTATGTCTTCTCCCGCCAAATTGTGGAAGATGATTTGCAATTCATCTACTTGTTCCACAACACTCCTTGTATCTACCATACGGTAGTTTATTGGCTACCACCATTCGTCATTGGTTAGCCTCTTCGACCCCATACTTATGATCAATCGCTTCCTAGAGTTGCTTGGCTATAACATATTTGGAGAAAACACCATACAGTGAATCATCCAAACCGTTCAACACAAAGTTCCAACACATGAAACTGTTATGTTTCCATTGTTGGCAACTAGCTAGAGATTGGGCGTTGCCCTCCTCTGGGATTGGTTCATCTTCAGTGAGGTACCGTGACAATTTAAGTTGTGTTAAGAAAAACAACATCTTTTGTTGCCAGCGTTTGAAATTTTGATCCTTAAATTGGTCATGTCTCTCAGCGGGCCGATTGACACAATAGGAATTGCCTAATTTTCGGAGTTCGCAACAACCGAAGGCATTCCGTCGACAGTTAACGTTCACAATGTTTGACACTTGATAATTCATATTTGTGCCAGCAGCATCATGATTAACGGGGTTCGTAACCTCTGCTATATGAGGATTCTCATCGATATTCATAGCAGGAATCTCATTCCCTGGAGCAGTATTTGAATTCATGGGATTTCTTGGATTATCAATGATCTGTAGAATAAATCCAATCATTGATAACTTTCACAAAGCTTATAAACTAAATCGAGTTTCACTTAACTTATAAACACTACAAAAAACCCCAAATTCCAACCGGCAAATCCGTTGGAAATGGCCGAAAATCCGTTGGAATTCAACTTTTCCAACGGATATATCCGTTGGAAAACAGTCGTTAGAAACGCCGTTCCGTTGGAAATCCGTGGCAAATTCCAAACGGAATTCCAACGCCGACATCCGTTGGAATATTTCAACGGATTTCCAATGGTTTTTCCGTGGTATATTTTCAACGGATTTCCAACGGATTTGTTCGTCGTAATATATCAACGAAAATTCCAACGGAGATCTGTGGCTACTTTCCGACGGGACCATTAGAATATCCGTTAGAAATATTCCAACGGATTTACAACAGTATTTGCCATGGAAATCCGTTGGAATATCCGTTGGAAACACCGTCGAAATGTTACAACGGTATTTACAACGGCAGTCCGTTGGAATTGAAAATTCATTCCAACGGATAGCCGTTGGAAAACCTGTTGGAAAACACAAAAAAATAAATAAAAAAATAAAATAAATATTTAAAAATAAAATAATATTTTATTTTTTAAATATTTATTTTATTTTTTTATTTATATTTATATATATTATATATTAATAAATATATATATATATAATAAAACCAAAATAAAATTAAAATATTAAAATAAAAAATTGTTCGAATATTACAGAAAA